CCAATGAATGTGTACGGAGTCGTTGGGATATCATGGGTGAACACAGAGTATAGAAAAGGGGCGATGTCGCTACCTTGTGGGACACCTGCTTTTATAGGGTGACATATTGAGTAGCTATTTTTGAGACGAACGGTGAAGAAGCGGTCTGATAGATAGGATTTTAAGAGTAGGAAATAGGGGGCTGGAAGGAACTTTTTTAATTTAAAGAGAAGTCCGTCATGCCAGACCCGGTCGAAGGCCTGGGAGACGTCGAGAAAAACGGTGGGACAGAATTCTTTTTTTTCTAAAGCGTTGGAAATATGGTCGACAGTTCGGTGAAGTTGGTGAGTGGTGGAGTGGTGGGCTCTGAAACCGAATTGTGTGTTCGGGATGATATTAGCATTAGTGGCAATGGAGAGGAGCCTTTTTAATAAAATTTTTTCAAAAATTTTTGATATGGTGGGAAGAAGGCTTATTGGTCTGTATGATTCTGGATTTTCGGGTGGTTTGTTTGGTTTGAGAATAAGAATTATGATAGAGTGTTTCCAGGCCTTAGGAAAGTATGAAAGTCTAAGCAGTGCATTAAATAAGTGGGATAAATAAATTATGACTTTGCGTGGTAGATTTTTTACTATAAAGTTGGTGATTAGGTCGTGACCTGGGGATTTTTTGATAGGAATATTTTTTATTATATAGTTTATTTCTTCAGGGGATGTGGCTTTAGCAGGCGGAGACATTGGGAGAGGAGATTCAAGGTAGTTTTCAACTATTTTCAGTTGAGTTGGACTGGGTTGAATATCATGAGGACAGAAGGAGTTTTTTAGGTGCTGAGCTAGAATATTAGATTTATCGGTGTCAGTAATGGCCCATGAATTGTCTTCTTTTCTAAGAGGAGGGGTGGGTTGGTTTGTTCGTAGAATATTTTTCGTTGCTTTCCACAGGGACATATTTATAGTGGTTAAAGATTTAACGTAAGTGTTGTATGATTGGTTTTTGTAGTTTTGGATTTCCTTTTTTATTTGGATGTTAAGTTTGTTTAGTTTGGTCTTGTCATTGGGATACCTAAAATTTTGCCAGCGAGCCCTTGTTCTACGTTTTTCGGTAAGTAGAGCTTGTATATGAGAAGGAGTTTGTTTTTTTGTGTTTTTGTTTGTTTGGGGTATTGCAGCTGCTAATGCGGCTTTTTGTATCGCGGTTGTGAGGTGGTTAACAGAATTGTTGATTTCATCGATTGATTTTAGGGAAACGTTAAGTTTTATATCGTCATTTAAAATGTTTTTGAAGATAGACCAATTTGTTTGACCGGGGGTGAGAGTTTCCTTTTTGCATGGAAAAACATTTAAACCTAGTTTGAGAATTATTGGGGTGTGATCGGAGGACAAGTCATAGAGGTTGGTAATGTCACAGTGTATATTACTTGGTAGTTTCTTGACAAATATATCTAAGATATCAGGTAGTCTGTTATTGTGAGAGGGCCAATAGGTTGGACCAGGAGGAGCTAAGGAAGAAAAGTTTTTGTTGTTTATACAGCACTGTAATGCTCTGCCTCTAGTGTTGGGAGAGCGATTTCCCCATGTTGTATTTTTTGCGTTAAAGTCGCCTCCCGAAACAAATCGATGTCCCAGTGTAGAAAAGTATTCAGAAAAATGATCCATAGTGGTGATGAGACCTGGAGGACAATAAATTGCGGATACGGTAATAGGTATGTTGTTATGAGTCACAATTGAAACGCTACTTGCTTGTATGTGGGGAGAAATGTAAGAAGGTAGAGGGTGATGGGGTATGCTAGATTTAATATAAATTGCCGAACCAGCATGAGCTGTTTCGTCAGGGTGGCACGAATAGTAAGAATTAAAGCCATACATTTTGACGCAGGAGGTAGGAGTAAAGTGCGTTTCAGAAATTAGAGCAATGTCAGTATTTGTTTCGGTTAGGATGAGTTGAAGTTCGTCTAAGTGTTGTCTGAGGCCATTGGCGTTCCAAGAGAAAATGGTTAATGGATGGTTTGCATTTGAGTTAATGATCATTTTTGGTTAGGATTTTATTTATTAGAGTCGTGAGNCAGATATGATGCAATATTCGTAAATATCTCAATTTCGACAGTTTTGCAAAATAATACTTATTTTTACAATTTTTCTAGAAAACTAGTGGGTTTAAAAGAAAAATTATACAAACTTTAGTTATACACAACATTTATATCTACAATTTATTTCCTATATATTTTTTTGTGAGAGCACTAATAAACGAGTCAATGGAAAATAACTGAAAAACTACCCCTTTTAACTAATTTTCAACCCCAAGTCGACACGAGTTAAACTTGTTTGATCGACCTAAAATTTTTTTGTGTTCTTTTTCATATGTATACAAATACATTTGAGGGGTATGCACTAAGCATTTCCGAAACTTCAAAATTCTGGGACACCCTAATGTATATACATAAATATTGTTTCGTACGAGGCAGCTATATTGTAGGACGGCTAGTTGTGCACCGCACTCGAATGCTGTTTTACCTTAAGCCTTTTTAAATCGCTATTATTGAAGTAGGAGTGAGTCACCTGGGGGATGGCGGCTAACGGTATATCCAATAATTAACGAGAGTAGACAATAATTAAATAACAAATAACCACATATATTAGAAGTTTTTCAAAAAGTATCTTAAATTTAAGGGGTAACGAGGGCCTTTAAATACTAATGGTCGGCGAAGTGGCATAAACAATATAGTTAAATCAATAAATAACATGTCGTAAACCAAAATATAATGGGGGGAAGGTGTAACAATGTAATGAAAATATTTATAATAATTTTACGGTGTTTATTTAAGATAGCTCGCTATCTTAAATAAATTATAATAATAATATAGTTCATATAAATTATAAATTATTAATAATCATTATTAATTATTTATTAATTAATTATGAAATATAATAATTTGCTTACCTTAAATTAAATTTCTTAAAAATTTTTTTTTAGATAGAAACGCTGAAAACTTTTTTTGACACATTTAAACGTGAAAACGTTTTTTAATAATATCGTTCTAATAAGTATAAGGTTTTTTTTTTATCATTTTTAATCTATACATATGGTCAACATAATTTTAAATGCATGGGTTTATTAGATAATGATGTGACCGGTAATACCCACTGACCATAGTTCCCCCAGTCTATCCTACACGAAGCGAAATAATTAAGTAAATAAAAATTATTGAAATTAATAGTTTATTTAATTGTTTAATGATGCTATTAATGTTTAATATAAATATTTATTTTATCCAATACAACTATTTCTAAGTAGTACTTAAAATATTTAAATATATTAATAACAGTTCATTAAATTATTTAAATTTATTTATGATAACTACTGTTAACTTTAGCACTTAAATAGTCACATTATTTGATTTACCACCAATATTTTATCGAAAATGTGGTAACTTTATAGGAGTATACAAAAGAATAACTTAGACCCAGGTATGTATACCTCTTGAAATGCATCACTTCATTTATACAAGTACTTTCAATATTGATTGAGAAAAAAATTGGTCATAGAAGTATTTGTATAATCAACAATTTTATTTAATTAAAATTAATGCAATTAATAAATTTAATGAACACAATGTTATTATTGAATTACTTATAAATACATTTTAGCTTCGATGCGAAGCTGAAAAGGTATTAGTTTTACTATAATGTGTTTTTTATTTGTGTCTGTTACCACTTTTTCTTAGCTTTCACCGAACCTATTTCTTTCAACGATACGTCAAAAGATCACAAATCGTATATAGTCGAAGTCATTACCCTCAAAAATTGAAAAAATTTCCCTCGTTCCCCGCATAGGGGGAAACCTCCAAAAAAATTACAAATTTTAAAATCGCTAATTTTCGAAATTTTCGAAATTTTTTTTACTTAAAACAGCCATAACTTTCCTAAAAATGAACAAATCAATATAATTTTTTTTATAGATGCTTGATGTCTTTACCTATCATTTGGTATATTTTTTTTATAATATTTAAGATGACAACTTTTTTAACAAAAAATTTACTTTTTCAACTTAACTTTTGAAAGTGTTCCGGAAAGTCTGAAACTTTTATATATATCTTAAATTAAAGCTAATGTAATGCACTTTATTATGAAAAAAAAATTTCAGATTTTATTTTGTCTTCACGGTGAAAACGGCTACTGAATGGTATTTTTGTGTGAAAATTCTCGATTTTATTTTTTACATTTTTAACTTTATAATGCTATAACATATTGAGAAGTGTATGGATCAACATTATTTTTTTATGAGAAATAAGATTTATATCTAATCCCTTTTTCATTCNTTATGAGAAATAAGATTTATATCCCTTTTTTATTCGACATACTTTATTTTAATCAGGATACAAATAAGGAAATATCAGATCATGTAGATTTTGGAATAATCCACCAATTTTTTAAAATAAACACTATCTAAAGATTTGCATCGAAGCGTTTTTTATGATAGTGATTTTAATCACTATGATTAATCATGCATGTTTTTTATCTGATTTTGTTTTACAAAATATTGGTATTTTACATAGGTTTATATACCCTAAAATCTAAGATAACAATTATTATCTGGATATTAATTCGTGAAAAAGATCATACTAAAAGTTAATGTAAAGTATGGTTTTAAAGCTACTATAATTCTAATTAATTCATTACAGGTTAATTAGAAGTACTATTTTAAAATACATATTAATAATTAATAATATTAAATGAATTACTTAGAGAAATAAAAGATAATAGGTTCTTAAAAAGATAAAGGATTACTCATTATGATACTAATATGCGTCAGAGATAATGTGTTTTAGAAATGATGAAATATAATAGAAAAAAATAATCGGATCATTACAAAGATATTTATGTATGTTTAGATGAGTTGGAGAATTGTCTATATAAGAACTAATACTCTTCATCCGATAATCAAACTATTACAAAATTATTCGCTTACTCGACACTGAGCATTACTGAACGACTAACATGAAATCTTTAACACTAATATTCCTATNTATGAAATCATTAACACTAATATTCCTATTCGGTAAGCTATAAATAATATTATCTAGATTTTGTATACAATAAATTGTATGTATACATTTTTATGAACTAAAATGTTTAACAAACTTATTTATCAAAAATAAATATAAAATAAATACTTTAGTTAGTCCAATAAAATAATAGAGTTTAAATATTTTGTTATCTTAATTTGACATTACCACTATTGATTAATCAGTTAGCTATATCAAATCAAATTTTAATAGCTAATTAAGATTAAGTAGTTTATGCGTCTTATTGAAGTTTGTCTAGTATAGTTTAGTAACGTAACTTTTTAATTTGAAACATGTAGATTTAGCTGCTGTTATGTTAGTGAACGGTGCTCCAGCTAATGATAAAAATGATGGCACTAATTCCAAACTAAAGAAGATTACTTCCTCAACTACAATTTTTCCATCGTCTACAATTTTCCCATCGTCTACAATTTTTCCATCGTCTACAATTTTCCCATCATCTACAATTTTTCCGTCAACTACGATGTCTACGTTTAACAAATGTAACATAGTCTGCACAACTGACTACAAACCAATTTGTGGATCTGATGGCGATAAAATAAACTTAAGCTTTGGAAACAAATGTGTACTGGATAAATATAACTGTGAACACGAAATAAGTAAGTGTTTAAGATCAATACGATAAGATTTATTAAATAAAAATGAAATTTATAATTAAATTATCTTTAGTTATGAAAGAAATTTTATGCAAAAATAAAAATCTTCACTTTGGGTAAAAAAATTGGGCATCAGGACCCAAATTAATATAATCCAAGGCTGTCANATTGGGCATCAGGACCCAAATTAATATAATCCAAGGCTGTCATTTTATGTTTTAAAATTCAAATAATTAAATTTCGTAAAAATCCTGAAATATGAATAATGTTTTGTAGATAAAAAAGTACTTTTAAACATATACAATTATCAGCTAGCTACTTCATTCAATGATTGATTATCAAATAGACACAAAAACTAGGATTAAAATTAAACGAATGATTATTCGTGAAGCTTATATGACATTACATGAA